GGGGCGTCTGTGAGTCGGGGGCTCTGTGAGTCAGGGGCGTGGCTTCTTAGTCTGAGGGGCTTCTGTCCCCTCCCCCGGCAGAGAATGCGTTCTAAGCGAAAGCTGCTGCTGCTGACCTCGCTGGTCTCGTGGCTCTGGCTGGTCCAGCGTCACCTCAGGTAAGTGCAAACCCTGGACGACCTGTCGTGGTTGGCAGGCATGAGCCGAACCGCTGAGTTTTGTCCAAGGGTATTGATTTTAGGGACACTCTCAAAAGGGACCGGATGTCACCTCTCTGGGGGGCAAAGCACACGGACGTCGTTGCTCTCATTTCTGGACGTCCAGCGATTATTTTTGGGGTGCCGTCTGGGCGCCAGGTTCTGTTCCATGGGCTGCGGGGGGCGCAGCGCCAAATGCCCTGAGGGTCCGGGGCGGGACCCCAGGGAAGAAAGCGCGCACGCGGGAAAAGTGGCAGGAAGCCGGCGGCGGTGGCCTTGAGCGGCCGCAGTGTGTCCATCAACAGTGCTTCGTCAATTTGACGGGGTCACGCAAGGGTTGATAACGGGGTGCGGGGTGGGGGACGGGGCCTGGGGATGCCACATGCTGTCTTCACAGCTTTGTTTTTCCGTAAAATTTCTCTAAAAGTAAAGTCTATTAAAAAACGGAGGGGAAATAAGGGAACAGGTTAATGATGCAAAATCAGGCAGAGGTCGGCCCCGCTGTGCGGTCCCTAGACCACAGGTTACGTCTCTTCAGGGCCGCGCCGGTCACGACGAAATTCGGATCGCCTCTTTGATGACGGTGGTGAGACGCTCCCCTCGTGAAGGCTGTGGACCCCACACTGGTCCACAGCGGGAACCCCGCAACTGCAGCCTCCCTCCCGGCACGTCCTAGGGGCTCAGTAATTATCTGGTTAAAGGGAGAGAAACAAACGGATCTGAATTGTGGGATTTTTGTGATTCGAATCGCCACTTTGAATCGGGTCTCCTTCAAAGTGAAAACTCTAATAATTTTTTTCGCTGATCTAAAGAACGTCATTTAGTCATTTACCGACACGGTCGACAGATTTAGCAAACAAAGCACCAGGACTCCGAGTTACCGCTGAATTTCTGATAAACAACGAATCCTCTCTCGGGAGGATGCCGGGCACCGCTGGGGACGCACGCGCATGAAAACGTTCCTCATTGCCTGCGTTAAAGCCACGTCGACCGGGCTTTGTCCTGTCTGCTGACCTCTCTGCAGAGCAGGGCGCCTGCCCGCCGGGCCCTGCCATGGAAACATCCCGCAAGCTGGGAAGCACAGCTGCAGGATCCAGGCGGTTCCCATGGTGACGGAACCAGGAGGGACAGAAAACGGAGTCCCCAGAAGCTCCCAGTGAGGGCTCCCGGCCTGTCGGGGCAGAAACAGTCTGGACAGACGCACGCGTACGCGTAGGTGGCATGCGTGTGGCCTGTGTGCCCTGTGAGGCAGGACACGAGGTGGCAGCATTGCACAAGCTTTACTGAACAGCAGCCCTTCTGAGCCCAGGCCGATGACACCCAGGGGGACTGGGGAGGGGGCTGCACGGCTGGCCGAGGTCGCCAGCAGCTAGGAGGGCGTCTGTGGGCCGGAGTCCTGAAGGGCAGCAGAGGTCTGGGTTTGCCTCTGTGTGGCGAGCAGACGTGAGGTGCAGTGCGTGAAACAGGCTGACCTCACGGTTGTCATACGGGCACGGGGAGCAGTGGGACACGTGACAATGAGGTTTGGGCTAAGGGTCCCGCCTGCATGGAGGTGTGGACAGCGGGAGCCCTGGGCGGCGCTGGCCTGGTGGAACAGTCCCCTCTGGTGTCACTGCCTGGGTCCCCGCTTGTCCAGGACCCGGCTGGCTCTGCGTAGAGTAAGTCTCTCGAGGCTGTGACCTCTTTGGTCAGGACCCCCCCTTCGCCAGCCATGGTCATCCCCTAGGACTCCAGGAGCTCATAACACCAACTTCTAAAAGAAGGCGACTTTTTAGTAAGTTTTCCATTGGTCAGTTTGTGTTTTTAGTGACATTGGGCTGGGGCAACCCGGATTGTGACAGCCCTGTCCTGGGGAATGATAAGGACACCCCTGCGGCTGAGGACACCTCCTGTTAATGTCAGAACGGGGTGCTCCCCCGGAGTTATTTCCGTGTTTACAAAATGTCCCAGGGTTCTGGAAGGCAGTTCGCTGCCTAACTAACTTGGCGATTGAATAACTCACGTAAGAGCACAGTAAGACCCTGGATGAATCGCGTATTTAAGTGGAAGTTATTATAGACACGGGACTCTGCCCCAACCCCTTCGCATCTGGTGCCCACGACACAGCCACGTGGGTGACGAGTGGGCGAGTGATTTAAATCTGCATTTTGTCCCCGCACGCATTCTCAAACCCGCTTTAGTTTGGGGGTTAATCTTTCTTTCCAGAAGCACGATCTTTCTTGCCTTCCTGCCTCTGGCCATCACCCCTCACCCTGCATCCTTTCCCGACCACCTGTCCCATTCCAGGCCAGGCGAGCCGTCTCCTCCCCAGGCGGCTTTCCCTGACCCCACTTTTGGGTCAAATGTGCCGCTTATGCTACCAGAAGCCATCCCTCCGTCAGTAGTGATCGCTGGGACCACATCGGGCTCTGCGGCCAGCTCCCCGGGGCAGGGGCTGGGGCTACATGTTCACAGCTGCAGAACTGGTACCCGTCCTGCTGCTGAACGAGTGGATTACGTGATAACTCGGTTTCTCCTTTACATCCAGGAATCATCAAGCACAAGAACTTGGACTTTCAGACTGGTTTGATCCCAGGTAAGAACAAAATGCCTGTCGCACACGCACGAGAGAACTCGATGTGGGGGAATAGGGTCCTTCCCACACCCGCCCCCCGTCACCAGATTGTAGTTACCTCGGGAGGTTTCCGGCAGCTGGAATTTTAATTTCCCAGCCCGTTAATATGGACACACACTACTTGGTCGAACCTTCCTGTTCATTCAGTGAAGAACGGAATCTCCTCGGAGCCAGCTGGAAACCGCCAGGGATGAGTCCTCTGGACTTTGGCGCCAGCACCCGGGGTGGGGGGCGCTTTTTGTGATGGTCGCGGAGTTTCCTGCTTTGTGGTCACATACGTAATTTATTCAACGCGTTCTCTCTCGGTTTTCGATTGTCGAGACCGGAGCTATCGCGAGGGATGTTTCAGTGGCTAACGATGCACATGTGTATTTTGACCCTGTCATGTGAGTGTATCCGTCAGATGAATTTCCAAAACAGAGTTTTTAGGTCAAAGAAGGCAGACGTTTAAGATTTTGGTGTAGGTTTGGTGTAATTTTCCCTTTGATAATCATACCATTTGATTTTCTTCCCTGTGGCGGATGTACTAAAGTATCATAAGGTCTTTTATTCTCGACGGAGCTGCCAGTTAAAACAGCCCAGTTCAATGTGCGTTTATGAGATTTCATCTGAGCGTATCTTAACGTGTTCATAATTTGCTTGTATTTAATCTTCCGTAAACTCCGTTTTCATGCCAGACAAAGATTTTAAATCAGCTATTTTAAGGTTGTTCGAAGAAAGAAAGGAAGTCCTAGGAGGATGATGTCTTGCCAAAGAGACAAGATCAATAAAATATAGAAATTATAAGAAGAACCAGGTAGAAATTGTGGAGTTGAAGAGTGTAGTAACTGAAATAAAAAATAAATAGTTAGATGAGATGATGGTAGATTTTGAGCAGGAAAAAGGAAGAATCAATAGCCCAAGCAGCTCAGCAAATCCCAGACAGGACCATCGCAAGCGGCCTCACTTCTAGACGGATCATAAATGATCCAAACCCATAGACAAGGAAAGGATCTCGAATGCAGCGGAGGGAACTGACTCCACAAGGCTGTTATGAGACACCGTGGAAGCCAGAAGGCTGAGGGACGAAATATTCATCATGCTGAGAAAGAAAACCTGTCGACTAAGAGTTTTTTATCCAGAAAAACTGTCGTTAAAAAAAAGAAGAAGAAATTCAGACATTTCCAGGAAAAGAAAAACGGAGAAAATTTATCGCTAACACAACGGCTGTACGAGAAATGCCTGAGGGAGTTCGTTAGGCCGAAATGACCAAACACTGGGCAGGAACCTGAGTCCACGGGAAGAAATCCAGGACCTCAGTAAGGGTGACTACCGGGGCGAATGTCTAAGATTAAATATATATGTTTTCGGAATTTTCTTCTGTCTGATCGAAAAGACAGCTGAATGGAGCAATAATTGCCATCTGTGTCGATGTCCAGACAATATATAGAGATGTCGTTAGTCTGACAGTAAATGCGCAGAGGACAGGACAGGAAACGAAGCCATGTAGGACCACGGTCTTTGTCCACGGCGGAAACTAAGGTGGCATTAGCTGGACTGGGTTGTTATAAAGTAAGATGCTAAATTCTAATCCCCAAGATATTGGGGACTAAACTAAAGCAAGCGGGGGCGGGGGGCGGGGTAAGAGAATAAATAAATGAAATAGAAAATGGAAAAACGGAGGAAAATCAATGAAACCAAAATCGGTTGTTTAAAAATAGCAACCAAGTTGACAAGCCTCTCACTAGACCGTCCAAGGGAAAGGAGAGAAGACTCGACTTGCTAGCATCAGGCGTGAACGAGGGGACATCGCTAGCGACCTTCAGGAATAATAACGATCACGGGGGACACTACGAGCAGTCGTGTGCCGGCGCGTTGGATAACCTGGGGCAAACAGAGAAATTCCCCAAAGACAGAAATTCCTAGAACTTCCTAGGAAGACTCCAACAGAAAGGGGAAATTCGAAGAGATCTATGACAAGTAGAGACTGAATGAGTAATACAGATTTTTCCGTGAAAAGCTCAGGACCAGATGACTTCATTGGTCAATTCTGCCAAATGCTTAAAGAAGAATTGATACTAATCCTTCACAAACGCTTCCCCAGATTAGATGAGCACAGCATTACCCTGATACCAAAACCAAACAGAGACACCGCAGGAAAGCTATAGACCGATATTCCGGATGAACGTAGGTGCAAAGTTTTTTGACAGAATACTAGAAGACCAAACCCGGGGACATGTAGAAAGGGTCATACACCACGAAATAGCGGGGTTTATTTCAGGAATGCAAGGTTGACCCAACGCATGAAAATCATTCAGTGGAACCACCACGTCAAACCCACACGACCATCTTGATAGACACAGGGCAATCCTTTGACAAAATCCAATGTCCCTCACAATGCGTATGCTCAACAGACTAGGAATGGAAGGGCGCTCCTGAACCCGATAAACCGAAGACACAGCAACGAAACCACACAGCAACGAAACCGGGTAAAATGGACCTGGTTTTAAAATTACAACCTCGTGTGCATCAGAAGACACCCCCGAGAAAGTGAGAGGGCCATCCGGAGAATGAGAAAAATGTTTGCAGGTCATATACGCGTTAAGGGTCTAGTACCCGGAATATGTAAAGAGCTCTTACAATTAAACAACAAAAAGACAAACAGCGCTTAAAAATGGGCAAGAGATGGCCAGCAAACACTTCATCAGTTACACAACTCTAAATCCCAGCGAGATACCGAGTCGCACCTGTGACGAGCGAGGATCGTAGGATGACTGGAAGGAAAACGTCAGGCCACAGAAAAAGTTGGCGAGAAGGTGGAGAAATTTAAACTCTTATAAACTGCTGGCGGGAATGTAAAATACAGAAAACAGTTTGGCAGTTTCCTGGAAAAGTTAACCACGGAATTATAATATGACCCAGAAACGGCACCTCTAGGTGCATACAGCCGAGAGAATTAAAAACGAACGTTCTAAGAAAAACTCGTATACTGTGATGTTGTAATAGCCAATAAAGGTAAACAGCTGGAACATCCATCAACTGATGCATGGATTAAAAAAATGCATGAAATGGAATATTATTTAGCCGTACAAGGAAGGAAGCCTGAGTCGCGCCACAGCATAGGTAACCCCCAACACGTGTTAGGAGGAGAAGCTCGACAGAGAACATCAGGGTGCTGCGGTCCTGTTTATAGGACATTTCCAGGACAGACAAATCTACGGGGACCAGAAATTCAATCAGCGGTCGTCAGGGGCTGCAGGGAGCACGGAGCGGGGAGTGACCGCTGACGGGTACAGGGCTGTTTCAAAGTATTTCATTTTCTTGGGGGCAACTTATTTTTTACTTATTTCTGTTAGAGGAAAGAGAATTTATCAGCCGGTGGAGCACGTGGGGCTTGACATCACCGGAGCATGAGCTGTTTCTTGGGAGCGACTTAGTGTCCGGTTTCCGCATGTGCATTGTTAGCACGTAGAAATGGGATGCACGTTTGTGTGTGTGCTGGTCCCGTGTCCTGTACAAGGACGCTCTTTATTTCCTTTTCCTGCTTCATTGCGGTGGCCGGAACTTCGTCCCCTGTTGAACAGGGCTGGAGAGAGTGGGCGTCCATGCCTTGTGCCGTCTCAGGAAGAAGACTTCCGTCTTCAGCGCTGTAGGCGTTTCAGAGATGCTTTTTATCACGGGAGGGTGATTCTCCTCTACTCCCATTTTTCTGAGAGTTTTTCTCTGTTTTTTTATCACGAAGGGGTGTTGGATTTGGTATAATGCTTTTTTCGTCCCCTGTGGCAAATGACACGGGCATCTGATTGTTCTTCGGTCTCTTGATATGGAAGGTTGCATCGAATGATTTCCCCAGGTTGAGCCGGCCTGGTATGTCCTAAACCCTGCTCTTTGTTACTGAAAGCAGATTGAGTGTCCGTGTCTCTCTGGAGTGATCCGTTCGTTTCTGCTGGATTGCACAGGTGGACTGAAAGCATGAGGGGAAGGTGGAAAAAGAAACCATTCTCTAGGTCTCCCAGGGAAAGGGCGGGGAGAGGGGGGAGCAGGAGGAGGGGAACACACAGGACACCAGGGAGGCGGTGGCACTCCAGGGACAGCGCTGGCCTCAGGTGACGATCGGAGAATTTTCTGACTCTGGGCTTTAAGCTGCAGCCAGAGCTCAAAGCGGATGGAGCCCGACTCGGAAGGCCGTCCCGAGAGCACGTGATGCCCTCGGGGCGGGCAGGCGCCCGTGCTCTGCAGCGGGACCTGGGCCTGGCAGCCCGCGCCGCTGTCACCGTGGGGCAGGGGGCGGCCCTGCCTCGCTGGTGTCCTGTGTGCTCGGCAGGAAACGCCCCGACGTCGTGACGACCACGGGCTGGCTCGCCCCCATCATATGGGAAGGCACGTTCAACAGGCGGGCCCTGCGGGACCACTACGCCAGGCGGAACCTCACCGTGGGCCTGGCCGTCTTTGCCGCCGGCAGGTAGGGCCCACGAGCCTTTGCCCTGTTTGGGGGGAGGAGGAGCACCCACTACTGGGGGAGCACCCACGGCCCTTCTGCCTCCCCGAGCCGCCCCCAACCACGGCTGCCGGCTGTCCCGTACCAAGTGTGCCCGGGCATCGTCCCCATCCTCAGCTGGGGGCTCACTGTCATTTCGCGAACTCCCCGTGTCCCGACCATGAAGGCTGCTGCTCCCCTCACCCCGCCACCGGGCACCGGCAACGCACGTGTGGGACGTGCGTTCTCCCGAAGTTTCGGGAAACTCAACTCCCGCGTGCGTGCGCTCGGCAGGGCCGCGGCCGGGCACCTGGAGCCGTTCCTGCGGTCGGCGAAGAAGCACTTCATGACGGGGTACCGGGCCGTCTTCTACATCATGGTGGACGACCCCCACAGGCTGCCGGACCTGGAGCCGGGCCCTCTGCAGACCTTCAAGGCGCTGCCCCTGGCGCAAGACCGCGGGTGGCACGACCTTGACCTCGTGCGCATGAGGCAGCTGGGGGAGCTCGTCGCCGACCACGTCCAGGGCGAGGTGGACTTCCTCTTCAGTGCGGCCGCCGACCAGGTCTTCCAGGGGGACTTCGGGGTGGAGACCCTGGGCTCGTCTGTGGCCCAGCTCCACGCCTGGTGGTGGTACAGAGCCGCTCGCGACTTCCCTTACGAGAGGAGGCCGCGCTCGGCCGCCTGCATCCCGTCCGGGCACGGGGACTTCTTCTACGATGGCGCGCTGGTTGGGGGCACGCCCCTGCGGGTCCTGCACCTCGTGGAAGAGTGTCTGAAAGGGGCGCTACAGGACATGAAACACGGGCTGAACAGCACCTACGAGAGCCACCTGAACAAGTATTTCTTCCTGCACAAGCCCACCACGCTGCTGTCCCCGGAGTACGGCTGGGACGCCGTGCTGCATCCGCCCGCACAGGTCCGCTACGTCAAGGTGCTGCGGCACCCCAAGGCGGCCTGGTGACCGCCAGGACGGCGGGGTCCCCCGACAGCGGGCCGGCCACGCGGCCGCAGGCGGCATGGGACGCCGCGGACCTTCCGCTCCGCTCCTCGGATGTGGAAACTCGCACCTGTCCAAAAGAGACCTTTCTCCTGGGGACGCTGACCATCCCGTTGGCCGGGGCCGGACGGAACAAAAGGATGATTATTTACCGTTTAACGCACAGCAGCGGCATTAATGTCTACGTATTGTAGCCTGGGGACAATTTTAGAGGCATAAAATAAAATTTTTAATGGAGAAAGATTCTAGTTCAAACACACACACACACACACACACACACACACACGCACACGGCAAAGGAGTCTACGTAAAGGAAAAAAAAAATAGCATGTCAGCGCCCTCCCGAAATACGCAGTGTTTCCCGGTTTGGGGGGATTTGCAGTGGGACCCATCCTCTCTGTGCAGCGTGAGAGTTTCCACCAAGAGCGTGTCTCTGTGTTACGGGGACAGAGAGAGCTCGAGTTCATTTTTTTTTAAAGCTATAGGCGTTTAATTCATTTATGTTTTAAAGAGAGGCGGGGACGGAGCTCTGTGGCGGAGGCACACAGGGGCCTCGAGGGGTAGAAAACAGTTACATGCAGAAATGTCCCCAAGCGGCCACCCATGGCGTGGCATTTCCTCTGCAAAGTCCAAAGCGCTCAAAGTGATGGGCGAGGTGTGGGCAGTGAGGGCTTACAGTGGCCTTGGGCCTGGAGAGTCCGGAATCACAGCATGGTGCCCTCCTTAACCCTCGTCTGTGGCGTGGAACAGGTCGGTAAGTGTACGGCCTGAGCGCGTCCCCCTAAATTTATCCGTACAAGCTTTTGGCCCCAGGACCTCCTCATGCAACTGCATTTGGAGGTGGGTCTTTACGGGGCTGATTAAGGTCACATGAGGTCACCAGGGTGGGCCCTCACCCTATAGGACTGGTGCCCTTCTAAGAGAGGAGGTGAGGGCACCGAGCACCTTGGACGTTCCCTTCGACGCTTCTCGAATAAGCGATGTTTTTTCAGACGGGCCGTTTTATGAGACGTTGCTGTTATGCTGACTCGTGTCCACTTCCTGACTTTACGTCCGGTGTCGCTGATCTTTCTCTCCGTCCCTGAGCCGACGCCTCACGGTCTTAGTCTTTGTGGTTTGATGTCGCTCGTGTGGAATGGTGCGTCAGGTAGCCTGACTCTTCCCTGCAGCATCTCGAAGCTTTTATTCCTTCACGGGGACCTTCGATTCAGGCTTGCGGTGTCGGGGAAACACCCCTTTTTTTGAATGGACGGGTCGACTTGAGGATCATGAAATATCTACGGTGTTGAGGTCTACGCAGAAACATCACGTGTCTACTTATTCAAGTCATTTATCCCCTGCCCCAGAGGAAGGATTAAAAAACATTTCTGCAGTGAAGTCCGCAGGCTTCTCGCTGAGAGTGGCAGCACGCGCTGTGTGATCACAACGTGGGCATCACGCTCTTCTTCTTGGGTTCGCTGGCTCACGGGAGCTGCTGTGCTTTGGGCGTCTGTCTGTCTGTTCATCGCTGGCTCTCGTGTGAGCCGCAGGTGAGGCCACACAGGTGGCCGACTGGTTCGCTGCCGTCGTGCTGACCTCGGGTTGGCGGTGGTGGGAGCCGCCTTGTTGAGGTGTGGCCTCCTGGGAGGCCTGGCCCTGCCAAGGGCGTTTCTGTGCAGGTGCTGGTCATACCTGTCTCCCAGGCTTTTCCAGACATACGTACTGAGGCCCCGACCCAGTTTCTGTGAGGCTGCCCAGCCGGTGGGGTCCCCTGGCTCGCCTGGGCAGAGGTGGGCGCCTTCTGTCCAGTCACCGCCCTCGTAGGGCCCGTGACTCTCAGGAGAGGGCGGTGGCCTGTCTCAGCTCACCTGTCAGGCAGGTACGTGGGCCTGCGTCTACCTGGCTCCTCTGGGGAGCGCGTGCTGGCTCTGTGGTCACTCAGCACCACCCCCGACCTGAGCAGGGACCCAGGCGGAGGCAGGTCAGAGGAGTCCCAGCCCGGCCCCTTGCAGGGTGGCTGTGTGAAGGACACCGCACGTGGCTCCGTCCGCTGGACTGCAACACTGTGCTCGCTGCGGCCGGGAGCGTCAGGCCACCTGCCCCGCCCTCACCGCCCGACGTGCCCTGAAGCCCGTGGGCTCCTCAGTTGGTGGTTGGCAGGACCTGGTGACCCACAGTGAGGGACCACAGGAGGGCGGGGCCCGGCACGGGCTGGTCGCAGAGGGCAGGGGAGGGCACTGGGCAGGGGCAGTGGCAGGGAGGCGAGGGCAGCATGGTGGCAGGGGTCCCAGCAGGCAGGCTCAGGGGGTGGCCCTGACGTGGGCTTCGGGCGGGGGACACTGGGCTGCGGGGGGAGGAGAAAGGCGGAGATTCGAAGGCCTTCGTCCGTTCACCTCGGAACCACACACTGTCCCTCCCTGGGGTCCCCTTGCCGTCTGCTGTCCAGCACCCCCGATGGCAGGCCACGTCCTGTCACGGCCCCTGTGCCCTCCGGACGACCCACAGACCCTCCCCACCTCTCCCTCTGCTCCTGCCACAGGTCCACACGGTCCCGGCTCTGGGCAGCCTCTCCTGCCTGCGCCTCGTCGCCTCTCGGGGCCGGAGCAGAGCCGTGGCCCCCGCCCCCACCCCACCCTCACCGCACAGCTCTTGTCCCCAACAAACTAGCGACAGAACTCGTGCCCCGTGCAGCCTGCACAGGGGCCGCAGGATGAGTCGGTCTTGTTTTGCATGTGTCCCCAGCTCCCGGAACGGCCTGCGTGTTTGCTGATTGACTGACCGATGCACGGGGAGCGGGTACCGTGAGAGGCAGCACCCCCCTCCTCCCGGGGTATGGCCTTGGCTCTGTCTCTGAACCTCTCTGAGCCTCAGCGTCTACATTATAGAATAGAGACGAGTTTGTGGCCATGTCGCCATGTCCCAAGGGCTGCGTGAGCGCTGGCGGCCGAGGTATCCCGCACAGGCCTGGCCGTAGCGGGCGTCCAGTAGAGGCTGGCCACGTGTTTAAGCGCGCTGGCCCTGTGTGGTTATTGCGAGTGCGGGTGCCAGGCCCAGAGGAGAGGCTCGGGCCCCGCCTGGCTGGCCGGGGCGTAGGGCAGAGGGCGGGAGGTCAGCGCTTACCGTCCAGGTTAAAGACGGGGACTTCCTGCAGCCGGAACCCCCTGATGCGCCTCAGAAACTCCCTCCGCCACTCGGAGTCCTCGGGCCCGCTTCTGGCTGGGAGCAGAGGAGCTGGTGACCCCAGAGTCCTGTCTCGATTCCGCCCTCTCCCCCTGGGTCCCCGCTGGGCCCGAGCCTACTGCTCTCCAGCTGGTCAGTGGCCTGGCCGCAGCCCTTGTCCCCCAGCCTGCCTCGTGACCTCGAGGAGAGGCGCAGGCTCAGCACTCCTGGAGGGGGCGAGTCAGGCCCCGTCCCCTTGGGGAGGACCCGCCGGGGTCCTCACTGCACACTCGGGGGGACGGCACCCCCCCTCACCCCGACCCCCTTCTCCCTACTGCCTGCCACCCTGGTCCTGTGGCCCCCTGCCACGCCCACTCCAGAGGCCCCGCCCCTCCCTCACCTCTGTCAGCTTCGGGACCATGTGACCCCCCCACGTGACTCAGGGCTGTTACGTTACGTGTCCCGGTGGAGCTGGGGACAGCTTTTTCTGACCTGCCCCTGAGACTCTGAGCCCCAGGATGCGCCCGGCACGCAGCGGGCAGGAGATGGCAGTGAGGTGTGTAGGGTGCAGACGAGTGTGTGAACGGCGGGGAGCCTGGCTGAGGGGCCCCAGGGTGCAGCTCCAGGTAGCCCAAGCTGGCACCGACACCCTCTGAGCAGCGAGCTCTGAGCGCTCGGCCCAGACAGACGCAGGGACTGCCCGGAGCCAGGGAGAGCTGCCACCTACCCAGCAGCGCCCACAGGTCGGTGACCTCGCCGCCGTCCTCGACGCGGACGTACAGGATGAGGCTGCTGTAGTCGGTGCTGACAAAGCGGACGAGCATGCTGCCACCTCCCTCAACTGTGGGGACAGACGCAGGCGGGGACAGCTGCCGCCCCGCCCTCCCCGGGGCTCTGACCCGCCCTGGGGTGGCACGTTGGCTCGAGGAGGGAGGACAGCTCCTTCTGGCTCCTGCCTTGCCCCGAGGCCGCTGGAGGCACGAGCACCCTGTCCCCGCCCCCTCCACCCCGGCGTGGGACCCAGGCCAGGCCTAGGCTACTCACAGGAGCCTCGATACTGGCCTCGGAGCCCAGTGGGGTGGATGGTGACGTTCACGCCTCTGCACACACCCTCTCCTCTGGGAGAAGAGAAAGGGGCTTCCATCTGGACCCGGAAGACCTGAAGGGTCACCTTCTGGCCTCTCCCTGTCCCCGGGGCCCCAGCCGAGAGAGAAGGCAGATCCACTGGGCCGGGGGCGCCTGGAGGGCTGGAGCAAGGATGGGGGGGGGGCTTCCTCGTGTCTCGGCTGCAGGAGGGGTCGGACCCAGGCTGTCCTTGGCCGGGAGCTTCAGGTCTTGGGGTGGGGGCCCAGTCCTGGTGCCTCGATCCCTGGGCTCCACGCACAGACCAAGGCTTTGGCCCCCCACCCATGCCCCCACCCCGGGGTCTTCAGTTTCTCATCTGGGGGGTGGGGGGGCCGTGCGCCGACGCTCGGTGTCTGAGGCCGGCATCGGCGAGGTGTGGCCGTGACTGTCCTGGGCGCTGCGTTTACACGCTGTTCTCCGTATCCCTGAGTCCAGCCCAGGTTGTCACCGGACGTCCCTGGAAGCGCAGCCCTACCCAGGATGCCAGCCGGCGGGCCCCGCCGGGCGAGTCTTCCCCTCGGCCCTCCGTCGTGCAGCTTCGGGGCCGGGCCTCTCAGGGCGGCGTCCGGGGCCCCAGCTCCGCACTGCGCGTCCCTCCGGCTCTAACCACTGGCCACTGTCCCTGGGGAGGCCCATGAGCGTGAGCATCGCCAGGAGCTGCAGAGGCCACACTTACGTCCAGAACAGGATGAGCTCCAGGT